TCACTCTTTCAAATAGATGCAAGTAAAACACAGCAGAAAATAAATAAAGTCAAAGACTCAGCGGTCCTGTTGCTCTATTTTCACCTGTAAAGCAGGACTGGGGGTAGGCGGAGGTTTACCCTGGTGCAGGTGTGCTGCAGTCAGTTGAAGAATCCTCGAGTTTCTCTGTGAATTTCCCATTACGTGGTAGCGCACTCGGTGCTCGGTGAAGTTTAGGGGGTTTTTTTCGCTGTAAAAAGAAGTTTTCTTCCCACGCACAACGGACACTGATGTTTTTGTCACTTTTTATGGAATCAAACTCAAAGTAAGGTCAGTACTTCCACGCTGCACGCTCATACTCTCTCCCGCACTCATATGATCCATTGTTGATCTGCACACAGCTGTTGTCACCAACGGCGCACTCGCTTACGTCACTGTCATGAGAGATTCTCGCAAAAAAATCACGGTTTTAGTAACGCAGTAACGCAGCGTTCCTACGGGAAAGTAACGGTAATCTAATTACCGATTTTGCAATAGTAATCCCTTACTTTACTCGTTACTTCTCTGGTCACTGTGTGGATGTTTTTCGTACGTTATCCCCCTCCTTGTGTTTAATGCATTGGACAACGTGGACGTGTTGTTACCAAATGTGTGTGTGTGTGTGTATATATATATATATATATGATTTCACAATATAGCTTTATAAAGAATGAACTTTGACCCTACTATCTTCTACCTGCCCACTGGATGCAACAGCTGTGGACTGTACGCTCTCTGGTCAAAATGGTTTTCTGTGGAATGTTTCAGCAGTACAAATTCAGCAGCAGCAGAAGGAAAACTCAAAAGTGATTTTTAACTTATTTTCATTCAGGAACATGATCGCAAGGTACGATGAATGCCTGTTTTTGAAGTATGGCTTGGTTAATTTAACACTTTATTTGTGAGATGCTGCAAAAGGATTTTGCAGATCAGCTACTAATTTGTTTTTAAAACCTTGAATTTTTTGTGTGACACTTTTCTCTCTGTGAGTTTTGCTGTTATCAGACACCATTGAAAGTTAGACCCCCACCAAACAGCTGTGGGGATTTTGCATCTGATGTTGTGCTGCGTTGTAGCCCCGTTGATGCTTGTTGAATATCCCATTGATCATTTTCACTGATTTATATATCTACTGGCTTGAATGCTTTTGCGCTCTCTTGTCTCTTCACTGTAGCCACAGAACAAAAAAAAAGCCAAAAAGCTAATCAAAAAATCCAACACTGGTACCACATTCATTTTGTGGTTGACCATTGTAGATCTAAAGACAGGTGAACTGCAGCTTGTCATTGTCAGAGCAGAACGTTGTGAAAAGGTTTAGATTATTTTTTAGTGTTTAATAAGCATATGCTTCCTGTTCAGTATCAGAATGAAATTACAGCTGGTGCTAACAGACAGGGATCAGGCAGGTCTCATTATTTTTTCTTCTGTCTGTCAACCCTGCAGTAGCCCAGGTTCACAGCTGTTAACTGTAGAACAGTTCAACAGATGTCAGTTATGACATTACACCTGAGTTTTACAGCTCATTACTTACAAACAAAGAAATCCCTCGCTTCAGTTTGACCATACAGAGAGTTGTTTCCTGTGTCTGTGATCACGACAAAGCTCAGAACCGCAGATTAAGATTATTTATAGATCTGTGCTGATTATGAGCTGCAAGATCAGAGTCAAGCAAAAAAAGTGTTTCTGAAACATGATAAAAATAAAGGGAAACAAGAAAGAAAAGAAAGAAAAAGGCTGTGTCTATCTGCACATCGGACAGTGTGATGTTAAAAAGATGGAATTCAGTTGCAAACTGAAAACACACTCTACAAGCAGTCATTAGAAGGCAGGCAACATTATGAGTTTTAGTGCTGATTATTAGAGCCGTCCTCTTAAAATGATGCCAAGAATGATGCCATCAAAGTTCCCTTCACTGCTGAAAAACAGATAGTGACCTCAGTCTTGTTACAGGGCTTATAAATGGATCTGTCATCTAGAGCGGGTCAGCTACTAATGCAAGGTTGCTGGTTCAATCCCTGGCTGCTCCAGGCTTCATGTTCCAGTATCCTTGGGCAAGATACTGGTCCAGAGTTGCTCCTGATGCTTTCATCATTGTTGATAGAAAACACTTTGCAACTCGACTAAGCATGTAGTAATAATAATAATGGATTGCATTTATATAGCGCTTTTCGAGAACCTCAAAGTGCTTTACAATACCACTATTCATTCACTCTCACATTCATACACTGGTGAAGGCAAGCTACAGTTGTAGCCACAGCTGCCCTGGGGCGCACTGACAGAGGCGAGGCTGCTATATCGCGCCATCGGCCCCTCTGGTCATCACCAGTAGGCGGTAGGTGAAGTGTCTTGCCCAAGGACACAACAACCGAGACTGTCCGAGCCAGGGCTCGAACCAGCAACCTTCCAATTACAAGGCGAACACCCAACTCTTGAGCCACGATCGCCCTGTATGTATTAGCCATACTCATCTACATGTGGATGTCATACTTTTATGGATGTAATAGGTTGCATTAAACTGCAGTACCAGCAGATGGAGACATTCTATTTCAAGCCAACATGAAAACAGTCATGGAAAACATTTAGAGAAACATTATTAACAGATTGTAATTATAGTCAAATACATATCAGCCACCTAGCTTAATCATTTCTGGCGTAGTAGGAGTCTGGTATGTACTTTATACCTTCCTTGGTCACTCGCCACCCGTTGACTTTAAATCTATATTCCCTCTGCTGGTACTGCAGCTTTTGTATTTGTCTGCATTTCACGCTCAGGAGAGGCAAATCGTCACATTGCTGTCACATGCTTCGCTGCGACATCAGATGCACTTATTTGAATAAGTGTGTGAATAATTGAGACTTGTTGTACAAAGTGGCTTGTTTTCTCAGGTATAGAAAAGATATATATGAGAACCAATGCATTTACTATTTACATTTGATTTATTTCATTAATAATCCATTTTCAAATTGAATTGATTCCAATATTTTAAAAACAATAATAATGGGTCACAGTGGCATCTCATTTTTATTAAGTGTGAGTTCTCTTTCTTCAAAGTAGCACACTTTCAAATTATCTTTGGAACAGAGAGCTGCAGGACTGTGATGATGGGGAATACTTTGCTGGCATTATTCAGTAAGTACATTGATTTTCTCCATTTGTGTGCCACTAATTAAAGAAAAATATGTTTTGTTTGATTGGATTCAGTTTATGTTTTTGTTTGTTTGCTTGTTTTGTTTTCATTAATTTTCTTTTTAAATCAATATGATTGTTTATGTAAAATTGGTTCTTTGACTAAGTTTAGAAAAAGTAATTAAACTTACTGTAGTTATGTTTTTTTTAAGTTACCCTGTTAGTATTTCTTGTAATTCTTTCTTATTTCAAAAAATTCCTGTCAGTTATTTTTTGTCATGTTCCCAGCTTGTTCATGATCGCATAGTATACACGTACAAACAAACATTACTGATATTCTATTCATCATTCTGATTTTCTGCCAGGTTGATAATGTCTTGATATTAATATTTGTTCTAGTGTTCAGCACATTTTTCTGTGGAAATGCAGAAGGTGAGAAATAGTTGTCTTTGCCTTTCAATTTTGTGAAGTGTTTAATATTTCCCTTGACCCAGCACCTTCGTTGATATATTTGATAAAAAAATTTATACATTCTATATTGTAAGTATTATTTGGATGTTACATACAACATGTTAAATTCACCCGTGAGGTTGATTTTTTGTATTTTGTAGTTTGTTGCCTTCGTGCCGATCAGTTTTCTTCTTGTGAATGTATGTGATCATCTCAGCAGATTCCAACAGTAATCCAGCAAAAGCCACCACTGAGAAGACAAGAACAGCCACAAGCACAGGTAGTTATCATATTCTTCTTTGTAGTGATTATCCCACATAGTAACTTTTAAAAGTCTTGAATTGAAAATTATAAGTTAACCAACTAATATTACACATTTACCTTTTCTGAACAACGTTGTCTTTATTTGCTGTTTAAGATGTTGCTCCCAGATGTGTTGTAATCTCATGACTCCAGTGTGAGTCATATTTTAGTTTGTATTAAATGTATAGTCAGGGTTTTTTTTTTTTTTTTTTTGTGTCTTTTCATTACCAAATGACAGAACTTGAAATCAAGGCCACTCTCAGAGTAGACAACACAACCATACCAGCAGGGGGCAATGTAACACTGACCCGTGATCTGAAGCACTCTGGTGATTTTGAATATCTGTGGTTCAGAGAAACCTCATCCAAAAGCAGGTCCACATTAGAAGTTGGATCGGATAGACAGATCAGTATCTCTAAAGGAGGCATCTACACCTGCAGAGGAAGGAGCAGGAAAAATTCACTCACAATAGAAAGCGATCCAGTCACCATTCAGGAAAATGGTGAACTTTATATTTCTTTTGGAATACAAAGTTTTGATTGTGTGTGAAAGTGAAATTTTTGTACCAATTTTTTTAGACCAGTATTTGAAGTCATAAAAATTCAAACATAATATTTGAATGATGTAACTCCAGTAGCTTCTCTCTAGGGATGGGAATTGATAAGAATTTAGCAATTCCGATTCTCTTTTGATTCTCATTGGCTCCATTTTGAGAGTCACCGCCATCTCTAAGCATCATAACAAAGACATCACATTCATGCAAATTAATTACAGGCTGTGGGTGAAATGTTTGTGGATGGCAGAGTTATTTCAGGTCTTTATTGTGATCAGTGCTGGGGTTGTTACTCAAAAAAGTAATGTATTACACAGAACATTTTTATTAAAAGTAATGCAGGACATTACTGATTACTCCAAGAAGTAGGTCATGTGTTGCACTCTTTGTTACATTACTATTGCATTTCCCTGTAAAATGACCTCAAACACATTGTCACGTAATTACCATTTAACAATATAACACTTAGGCTACAGCCCCACACACCAACACAAATCCCTATCCTAATGAAGACCAGTGTTGCCAACTCCTCAGTAAGGAAAATCACTATTGGCTATCCTAAAAGTCAGTAGAAGTCGCTAAATAACGTCATCTCCTAATTTGCATAATTGATCATGTTTATGTAATTGTAACCTGTAACATGTTGTAGGAGAGAGAAATAACATTGTGGAAGAGACAAAGTGAGTAAAAAACAACCTAAGTGCATTTATAATACATTTACAACTACAAATTAAATTCTTTTAGCTATCACATTTCCATCTTCCTTACTCGGTCTTGGTGCTGGCAAAAGTGACCCGAAATGGGCACTCTGGTGGAGTTACTTTGTGTGTGTGTGTTTATGGAGTTTTAAACCTTGTGATTCACAAAAAATAAGAGTAAAAGAAGGGTGGGAGCAGTGGCTTTGTTCATGCGCGATTCATTTTTAGTTTGGACTAGGGATGGGTATCGTTTAGGTTTTATCCTATACCAGTACAAAACCGGTACTTTTGAAACGGTGCCGGTGCTTAAACCGTGCTTGAAGCGGTGCTTAAAGAATGGAGAACACACACTTTTTTCAAAAACCTCTCATGTTTAGCTGTTTTTTGTAAAAAGATAACAATGTTAGCCTTTTCAGCAGCTATAGGGCATATATGGTATCACTCTTGGCTGGAAGCAGTGCTTAAACAATGGAAAAAAACACAAATTTTGTCCAAAAACCTCTCACGTTGAGCTGTTTTCCACTTTTTCTTTGGTCATTTTAGCCTTTTTGGCCAGGGTGAAGGGAGTATCTGCCATCAAACAAGAAGACAGCCACATGTAATTACGACGGTGTTTACTAGTTCACCTTACATGCGTTAATTTAATAACGTGGTTATTATTAACCACGTTATTAAATTAACCGTGGTTAAGCTACTCATGCAGAGAAGAACAGCTGCTGCTGCCATCATCATCCGTCATCATTTCTTCTACACTTGCAGGGCTAGGGGCCAGGACCCTCCTCTTCGGGTTCTTGGGGGATGTTGCTAACTCCGGGTCCGATAACAGGCAACCCACCCGCAGTAGATGTGCTCGGTGTGAGGTCTCGCAGCAAGCTATCAAATACGGTGCATTTTTCGGCTTATAAAAAAACGCTATGCGTCGCCAGGTGTTTCATCAGATTCGAGGTGTTACCTTCTTTGCACAGTATCACAGTATCAGCTTGAAGTACTTGTTGCAGGCTGCTGAGTTTGCATCTTTTGCTCTGAAGTACAGCCAGACTTTTGACCCTTCGCTTTGGGCATTTTTAATCTGTAGCTCTGCTCTAAAAGAACGTACGTACCTGGGCCCGCCTACTACGCTTGCAAAGGTAAAATGATTGGCTAGAATCCAAAGTGTATGACATTTCAGGGACATTTCGCACCGAAATGTGTGCTGCTTTTCGGTCTGGTTACTACCGTTTATGTCAGAACCACCGGTACCCATCCCTAGTTTGGACACGTAGAGGCCAGCATCTCTGACAGCAGCTGGGGGCGACTGCTGAGTGAGGATGATCCGCCGTCTGTGAGCACTTTGGCATGGGCAAGGTGCGCAGGGCAGCGCCCGCTGCTTGTTGAGAGTAAGAGCGAGCTTTCAGTCAAAGAGTGGTCATAATTTCCTAATAACACCAGCAAAAGTCACCAGATTTGTCGCTAGTCTCTTTTTAGAAATAAGTCACTAAGGGGACTGAAAACTCGCTAAAGATAGCGAAAAAGTCGCTAAGTTGGCAACACTGATGAAGACATACATATGATCTTTTTCTTAGTATTTAGATATGAACACAAAGCAAAAATAAAAACCAGAACAAACAGACTTTAAAGTGATCTCCAATGTAATTCTACTTTAGAAGCATGAACAGGATTGTATTGTTGTAGGGTCTTTACCCAACAAAATAAAGCACCTTGAGACAACTGTAGATGAGATTTGCCGCTAGATAATTACATGAAAAAAACCCAAAAAAAAACAGGTAGAAATAGAGACTGCAGTCTGACTGCTCATCCATTTGTTACCTGAAAAAGTTCATCAGCAGCTGGCTTCACTACAGCTTACTTGACTGGGTTGGGTCAAGCGGGGTCTGCATTTATTCAGCTTTAGCGTCGCTCTGGGCTCTTGGCTAGCTTAGCGTTAGCATTCTATGTATGCAGGTGCTTGCAAAGATCTAAAGTTGTGTTAGCTACATAATGCAACTGTTTTTGTCCTGGAAGCAGTTTGAATTTACCATTGTGACCTCATCTTATTGTGCAAAAAAAAAAAAGTAGTTATGTCTATATCCACATTGGAAACTGCCCTGCTAACTCACTGACTTACGCAGGTAACAAAGACAGTGATGAGCACTCAAGCGGAGAGCATTGCATTGCATTGCATTGCATCCTCCATACCTGTGTATATTTGAACAGTTGAACTGTTGCTTTGAAGTGTTTTTGTGCTGGTTTTCAACTTTGCTTTCTTTTGCTGACTTTCTGGTGGTGTTGGCGGTAGTAGTGATTGTTATATCACCTGTTCGCTTATCGAGGGAATTTTTGAATGAGTGGATGATGGGAGAATGCAACTTTTGCTGACCGCTCAAGCCTTGAATGTTGTGATAACTGTTGTTTTGGATAAATTACTTTATCCAAAACAAAGTTACTTTCTCAGATGAGTAATTACAAAAAGTATATGAATATATGTGTAATGCATTTTTTTTAAATAATAACCAGTAATGACATCAAGTAAAAACACTGGATGTTGTCAGTGTGCAAAGTGTTCAGATGCAAGTATTCCTACTGTTTCTGTGTGGACACAGACCTATTCACAGTTCTACTGTGTTTTTCTCCTAAAAATGTGTTTGTCCACCTGAAACTAACAAAAACACAGTCAATTATAGATTATAAATAAAAGCTTGTAGCTGTGGCTGCATGATGTAGATGCTGGTTTATATATTGTCTGACAAGGAAATGAGTTCAGTGCTGGGAGGAGACACCGAATCCTGGATTGTGTCAGGAAGAGCATTTTCCAAACAAAACGTGTAGCTCTTTATTTTATGTGAATAAAGGAGCAGCTGAAAGTAACCAAAGTAATGCATACCAAGTAAATTTTAAACATTTACAATTTAAAAGCTGTTGAAATGATGATACATGATAACATTACATTGTGTATTCAGCAGAGCTGCTGAGTCTGACAGTGGAGTGTAGAGATGCTGGTGTGCCAAACAGTTTATCTGTGACACAAATGTCTGTTTTACAGTCATCTTACTGTAATTACATCATATGTATGTATGTATGTATGTATGTATGTATGTATATACCCAGTTCCTTAACAAGTGTGATAATCTCAACAAATCTTTGCACAAAGATCATCACACATACAAAAGCTATTAACTATACATTTTAATAATAAGCATCCATTTATTAATCCCATTTCTTTTGATTTTTGTATTCATCATCCCCTGAAAATGTTACATTATCTGTTTTGTTAGTTTCATGTGTCACATTCAAAGTTTGTTGCCTGTGAATAACTTAATTGTCACAAAATTTTGTATCGTTGACTGATTTTTTTTCTTCTAGATCTACTCTAATTTTACTTGTTGTTGTTTATGCTTTTCTGTGAACAGTTTCCAATAAGCCCAATGTGACCCTGCAGCCATCCTGGACTCAGTTATACAGCGGTGAGACGATCACTATCAGATGTGAGATCCATGGAGGAGACACTGAGTGGGATTATGAGTGGGAAACAAACAGCAGGATAAAAGCTCCAAATCAAAATGAATACAGGATTAGATCTGCTTCATCATCCAACAGTGGAAACTATCGCTGTAAGGGCAGAATGAAAAGTTCACAGCATGAAACAACAGAGTGGAGTGATTCAGTCACACTGACAGTTTCTGACAGTAAGTAGAGTCATAGTTCATTTAACCTGGAAATAGAAACAGTTTGTAAAAATGTGTTTTTATTAGTACATGTTGAGATATTTGACATGTTTAGATAGTCTCACTCTTAAAGTTCATCATAAATATTTGTGAGTCAACATTTTAGTGACATTGAATTCAGAGTTAAGAGACGAAAGATTGAGAGCAAATCTTTGTTGAACAGATGAACCCCGTCCTGTCCTCACTGTGTCTCCATCATGGCTGAGTCCTGGAGCCTCAGTAACTCTGAACTGTGAGGTTGAACATCCGTCTGCAGGATGGAGCTTCTACTGGTATAAAGCTGTTCCTGATCTATCAGAGAAATCCTCCAGTTATGAGCTGCTACCTGATGGCAGTGGGACTGCACAGGACTCCTACATCATTCATGGACAGACACACACAGCAGGATATGTGTGCAGAGCTGGAAGAGGAGACCCAGAGTATCACACTGATCACAGTCAACCAAAGTTTGTCTGGTCTGCAGGTCAGCTTGATACTCTTGTAACCAGTGCAGCTGTTGTTTACCTTTAAAGGTCCCCCAAAGAATAATTGATTTTTTTTTCATTTGTGATATTGGTATATATCTTTGCCTAACAAGCACATGTGCAGTTGTAATTGCTATTTCACGTTCTCCTCTCTGCATGTTTCAGGTGTTCGTTCAGCAGCAACTCTCAAAGTGAGTCCTGACAGTGTGCAAAATTCAATGTATGCCTCTGTCTCACTGACCTGTGAGGGAAACTTCACTGAGTGGAGAGTGAAGCGGTTCCCCAACGATGGCCCCCTGTTCTATTCCAACTGTGTGAGAACGACTGGATCCACATGTAACATCAGTTACATATTAAAGTCACCTACTGCAGTGTACTGGTGTGAGTCTGGATCAGGAGATTTCAGCAATGCAGTCAACATCACTGTACAGAGTATGTTATTATACATTCTTCATGTTCTTTATATATATATCTTTTGGTTGTTTTTTCCCCCTTTATGTTAATCATTACCTCACAGTGTTTCCCCACTACACTGCTGTATGAAAGTAAATCTGTTAAAAATGGACAAAATATGGGACATTTAGGCAATTTTCAGTCTTATTTTAGCTCGACCCTTATCAGTGAATAAGCAGTAAATGTCTGAGTATGTTATTATACGTATGTTTTTGTGGGTTCTCCACAGAGTGCTCAGACCACTAAGTTTTACTTTTTAACATATGTACAACAAACAAACAAACAAAAACTGCAAAACCCAGCAAAGCAGAGTACAGTACAGTGGTCCCTTGCTATTATGCGATTCACCTTTCATGGCCTCGCTGTTTTGCAATTGTTTTTGTGCAATTTTGCATGGTTTTTGGGTTGGGTTTTTTTTACAGCGCATTGTGTTCTGCGTCCTGATTGGCTGTACACCATTGTCAATCAATCTCGTGCTGTCTCCTGTCGTGTACAGAATGCGTTCAGTTTGTCAAATTTACATGAATCTTCTATCACTCTGAAGTGCTGAACTGCATGTTTGTAAGTTTTCTCCCCAACAAACACAACAATGTCGATGAAACGTTTTGCACTGTCAAAGGCACCTGTGGTAGTGCTCAAAAGGCAGAGGAAGATGCTAGCCATTGCACAAAAAGTTGGACTTTTGGACTTGCTAAAGGAAAGTAGAAGTTACTGTATTTTTTGGACCATAAGGTGCATTAAGCAAAACAAAACAGTCAGATAAGTCAAACTTTACTCAACTCATTCTTCTTGCTTCCTCTACTTCTGTACCATTGATTCATTAATGCAGCTGTGAGAGAATTATGAATTCTCTCACAGCTGCTCTATTCTCATGTTCTGGACCTGAAAACAGGGTTTGATCTTTGGTTTCATTCTATAATACTAGACTTATTTTTCTACGAAGGTTTGAGCTTCGAGAGTGTTTAAACAAGAATGAAAAGTGTGAAAATGTTGATGCCTGTCTGAGAAAAGTGTATAAAGTGTGTGGTGAGGGGTTTTAGAGCTTTAAAACATCTATAATAATTGTAAAAAATAAAGTTGGCTACTTTGCAGATTTCAGGTTATTTTTAGAACGTAACACCCGTGGTTAACGAGGGACCACTGTACACTTTAAAGTAAGACCTCATGTTCCTCTTTTCCTGTGTGGCTGTGTTTGTTATGTGCCACTGCATAAACAAGCAGCTGGTGAGTTGTTTTCATTAATGCTGCATCAAATCAGCTCAACATTACATTACAACACAAGTCTCACTCTGAAGACAAGGACAATTCCCATATTTCAAAATACCTCCAACTGTCAACCTAGAGCCCAAAGTCTTTTAGCTGTTACTAACTGATATATGGAAATAGCCCAAGTCTCATGAGATTAAAATTTCATGTCTAAGGCACTCTACATTTTATAGGTCAGCTGTCCATTTGGTAAAAAAAAGTTAGTGTACAGTAGTTCTTATACACAGAACAGTAGGTATCACATCATCATGTAACTTTGGTGCCCTTCAGCTTTTTTTCTGATCTAACAGGACCACCATTGATTGTTTCACAGATAATTATTATGATCCTATCCTGGTGAGTCCTGTTCATCCTGTGACTGAGGGAGCTTCTGTTAGTCTGAGCTGCAGTTTGAGAACACAAAAAATACTTTCCAATGTGTTTTTCTATCACAATGACAAACTTCTTCAAAATGATCCCCGAGGGGAGCTGAAGATCTCTGCAGTGTCAAAGTCTGATGAAGGTTTCTACAAGTGTCAGTACTCAGGAAGAGAGTCAGCACAGAGCTGGATGTCAGTTAAAGGTGAGCAGGATCAAAACAGTTGATGGAATTTTTTTCTTTTAATAGAGTACTCATTGATGGCGTATATCATTGAGTATGTGTTTTGTCTTCTTGTCACCTGACTCTACTTCTTTGATAATATATGTTTTTTAATGTTTAGAAAAAAATTCTCACATAAAGTCTCTTAATGTTTTCTGTTAATGTTTACAATCACAGTAGCTCCATCAGGTCCTGAAAGCTTTTCATTTCCTCTGTGGTTGGTTGAACTGGTTTGTGGAGTCTTTCTTCTTCTTATTCTCCTGCTCTTAGGAATGGGTATTCTGTATTGCTATAGAAAAGTGAAGGGTAAGACATTTTTCTTACTTGATACAAAATATAAAAACATCATAGCACTAAATAGAAGTAAAACAGTTTGGATTATCAAAAAAAAATCATTTTCCTTTTTTGACAGATTTATGCTTCACTGGGTTGGTATAAATCTCTGCATTCCTATTTTCATTTTAAACATTCAGCAGTAATTTTCTTACTGTACTAAATTTACTGTATTATGTTATTATCTGTGCATTTGTTATGTTTTCATTAGGCCGATCCAGTCGGACATCAACAGTCAAGACTCCACCAGAAATCATGGAGACAATCAGGATGAAACCCATGAATACAAATCTCTTCAGCATGGTCAGTGCTTAAACCAAAGTTTAGTATTAATAATTAGTCTTTATAAAGTCCAGGAGTTCTGGTCATCTGGTCATCAATCAAATATCAAAAACACAAAAAGTTGTGCAAATAATCAAAAAAAATCCTAAAAGCTGAGTTAAACCAGAATTTACTCACAGAAATGTATATCTAACTAAATGAATGAAGGATCAACAAAAGTTATTGTTCCATATCATTACAACACATACAATATTTTTAATACACTGTTGATTGATTGATAATATTATTCATCCCGGGGGAAATTGGGTTAAGGCTGCCAGCCTTCCCAGCGCCATCTTAGCCTTCCGACCGTACATACATTACACAAACATCACGGGGAAGACAGGTCAGAGAGGTATAGCAATGGAAAATGCACAATGTGAGGAAAGACGAGGAGAAAAAAGAACTCTCCCCAGACTGAGCTCCAACAGGGAGATCAAACTGTTAATCAAACTTTCTAAAACTGTAAAATAAATTAAATTCGAATTTTGTGTCTTTGCACTTTAACAAAACTGTGTTGATGTATTTGCTCTAATAGCACTGATATGATCCTCTGACTTTGTTTCTTCAAGCTCATTATGAAGCCTATGAAACACTCCATCTTGCAGAAGAGACTGGTAATGGTCCAAATGGTACACAATATCTTTTGAATAGCACACAGCAGCTAGAAATTCACATACTTACATATCATAGCTTTAAATTGTAACTCTGACTCTGGCGTATTATTTTTTTAAGGTGATAATCACGACTATGAAACAATCGCTGACTTGGAAGAGACTGCAAATTGTGGAAATGGTACATGTCATGTTTTGAATATCACAGAGTGGTTAGAGATACATAAACATTTGAGTCAAAAACAGTATTTCTGGTGATTTTTTTAATAATCCTATAAATACAAATATATATATTTCAGAAGCAGATAAAGTTCATGAAGCCACATACTCTCTTACCGACCTTAAAAATTCCAGAAAGAACAGTAAGTATAGTACAAATACTCGCACATGCAAAAAAGATAAAATACATTCAAAAAACTAATTGGGAAAGGTTTTGACCTGCAGTACTGATGTAAATGTATTAATTATTTTCTTTTGCTCATTCATCTGATTATCTTAGCAAGGAAGCATCATAAACCACATGAGAGTCCTCTTTCTACTGATGTGAACATGGAAAATGCAGGTAAACTCACAACAGTCATGCACTGAAATGTCTCATTACATTGACAATATTCCTTGACAAGATTAAATGGCCTCACCACATAACATCCTTACTTTTTGTCTTTTGTGTTTGCCTTACAGGTCAGTGAAGAGAGCAAGAGTAGCAAAGCCAAAGAGAAGCATAATATAATCATACTATAATGTTTAGAGCATATGCATGCTGTATATGTTTCCTACATCCTCTGAGTGAGACACTCTTGATAGAATTTTGCATAAGCATTGCATAGGGCACTGTGAGTGACCCATGAAAATGTAAATATTTGAAGTCTCAGAATCGTATATAATTGTATATTTGACAGTTCAATTGGAATAATGGAATATCAGAATAGAGTGGCGTGTCTAATTTAATGTATTTTAGCATCATATTATAGCATATATCATAGCATCTCATATGTGGTAGCATATACAGATTTGTATTCCCTGTCTCCCATGGTAATTGCAGCGTGCTGGGATTTGCTTGTATGTAATGATATAGACACAATATTCTGTTTTGTTGTTGTTTTGAGGGGTTTTTTGTATTATCTGATTTAACTGACAATACAGCTTTAAATAAAGGTTTTGCAATGCTACATTAGGGCATCAATACATATTTGTACTGCATAATGTATTATACATTATGTTGAAATAAATAAATAAAATTCTGTGACTGATGCTGTATTGACTTGAATGTAAACTATAACACTATAACCCAATAACACTGAGCTTCATAAATATGATACATCATCAAGTGTAACAGCCATTTGATCACTAGGGGCAGTGCAGGAAGCACAGCACTGTTGCTCATGATATTTCCAAATCGATTGTGTTCTACTGAACTGCTTACATACCTTTATTGCTGCTTTCAGATTTTCTTAGATGTCAAACATGTAGCATAGATCCTGCTAGAAGCTATTAGAAGCATGGCACAATTAACACTTGTCTTGCTGCAACTTAATATGCATAAAAAATAAAAAGGACATTGATAAAGAAACCAAACAAGAAGTGCAAATGTTGAAACTGCATTCTTGTTTATTTACTGCTTACCTAATCCATACTGCTGTGTTTGCAGCTTTGCTGTGCTCTCCAAAAATCAGAAATTTGCATTGTTTGCATGTGACTCATTAAACCCCCCCAGAAAAATATTGTTTCTGCCGACGTGTTCTCAGTGGAAACAGACTTCTATTTTTCTGAAACAGAGTTTTGATTTAACGTAAAGTGACACTTGATGTAGTTTGATCTCAGCTGATTTCACTATATACTAAAACTAAATTCATTTAATGAAGTTTAAACAGCTTATTATGTTGTGATTATCAGAGATTCTTAAACGTCAAACTTTTCCCATGAGCCCCAGGAACTGGCCCACTGTAGGGTAACTTAAAGTTTAAAGGAAGAAAGAATCTCTGTGAATAGAGCTTTCAGAGCTACTTTTAAGGACACACGTGTTAGCTCAAAGAGGAAGCAGGATTAAATCTCACGTCACAC